TCCCATCAATTTAAACTGAATTTATATAAGAATATGAAATAATTATAACAACAGAAGTATGGTAAAATGCACGTGATATTGGTCTAGTGATAAAATTTACAAGCTTGTATAATGGATCGATTAATTTATTGGACCAAACCAATTAGTTATCCGATTTCAGTTGATTTGGTCAAACTAGCTGGTCTAGATTAGTTTGAATAACATTGCTTATGTGACAAAAACAGATTTTCATATTTTAAATACAGATTAATATACTTTCCAAGATATTTTTTCATCAATACATTATTACAATGAGTTCACTTTTTGTCATGTCACATGACAAGACTATTTTCCTGCACACACAAATTAAGTGTGGGTCCCACACTTAAAAAAAAAGTCAAACCAAAATCAGGATACGGCGCCGTATCTTCAAGATACGTTGCCGGATCCTTGTTGCAGGAATGAACAGTGTTATTCCTGCAACATGATTCTTATATTTTCCTATTACAATATATATAATATATATTTATTTATATATTAAAATTAGAGAAAAGTATTTGTCATTTTAAAGGATATAAAGTCGTGTCATTTTAAGTGAGAGAAAGAGAGAGAATGGACAAAAAAAAAGGTGTGGGTCCCACCTCTTTGTGAGAGTGAAACGACACAAGTTGTGTCATTTAAAAGGATAAACATTTTTTTGTTAAAATAATGGAAAAAGATTTTTCCTATTATAAGATATAAAACTATCTATTACAACTTAAAAAAAAGTATCATTCTTTAAAATATATTTAAGAACTAAGGATGATTGACCATTTTGCTCCTAATTAAAATAAAAATAAAAATTCAACTTTGCTTCCGTTCCAAAACTGTACATCAATCTACTTGTGTTTACCCGTCGACCTACCTGCGTAAGTTACCCGAGTACAAATATTAGTTACTCGAGTAACTAACCCTTGTATTTGAGTTGCTCATGACATGAGAGTATTTTTTTTTTTTAAAAAAAAAACCCTTAATCAGCCAAAAAAAGGTAAAACAGAAACATGATACCTGAGTACTCTCTCATCCATGTGAACCAAATATCGTGTGTGGGTTCTTTGGTCATCATTAATCTCTCCTTGTCCATCTGATTGAATTTCGATTTAGGTATGTGTTTAAGCAAAAAAAATTGAACCCTAACCTGAAATGATTTCCATGTTGCTTTATTTTTTTCTTTGATTTTTTGAATTTTGGGTTTTTTTGTTTAGGTTTTGATGGTTGTATATAGTTTAGAGTTTGTAGTTGTTTAGGTTTTGAATTTTCTTTTTCTGTGATTCAGAACTACTTTTTTTGTTTTTTTAATTATGTTTGTGTTGTTGATTAATTTTCATGTGTTTTTGTAGATTTATGTTATTACACATGGTTGATAGACGACCCTCAAAGAGACCCGAGACTGAAAGACGGTCCAAGAACCGCCACGATGGGTCTTCTTCTTCGAGGACAGTTGAGGCTGACCCTCTAGACATGCCATGTGGATACTTTTTCAATAATGGTCCCACGGAGCAAACTTGATTTATGTCAAAGTTTACGAGCAGAGACATTTGTAAGCTGAAGTCGTTGTATTCACCTTTCTTTATGACTAAGGGCTTTGACATTGTTAGACTATTGAATTGAACAAATTTGAACTTATATTTTGATAAAAGGTTTAGATTTTTAAATAATTTAAAAACAGAAACAAAATAATAATATTTAGTTTAATTAAGTACAAAATATCAATCAAGCATTTGCCAACCCTTTGATTTGGTCATCCTATACTGTTTTTCTTTTTCTTTTTAACAATCCTATAATGTTTTTAATAAAAGGTTTAGATTTTTAAATAGTTGAAAAACAGAAACAAAGTAATAATATTAGTTTTAATTAAGGACAAAACATCAATCACCTGAGAACTAAGGAGCATTTGCCAACCCTTTGATTTGTCATCCTATACTATTTTTTTTTTGGTAACAATCCTATACGGTTTTTAACAAAAGTAGGAAATGGGTTTGGAATATCCTCCGTTTCCATTTTAGAGATTCCCCTTTTTCGGGGAGCGCAAGGGCTCCCAGCCTCCCACGGGGCCACGGGTATATTTTTTTCCCTTTTGTTTTTGTTTTGGTAGACAAAAGGGCCTAAGCCCGAAGACAATTCCCCTTTTGTTTTAATTTATTCCAATTCACAATTTCTTTTTTCAATGACTTGACAACGAAAAAAGATTGGCTACAAAATCACGCTCGTCAAGTGTTGACAGTAATTTACCTGGAATGGTATACTATTAATAAAGAAAAACATAAGCAAATTGTTGAAAACTCCTTTTAACATTTATTTTTCTTCAACCCACATGGAATTTCTTCAATCTTCAATGGGATATATTTTTGGTCTACTTTTCTTTCTAATTAAACGAAATTTATTTGCTAAAAAATAAAGAGAGATAAAATAATAATTAGAATATCGTGTAGGCATTTATTTATTTATCCATTATCTTATAATATAGTATAAGTATTTTTTTTACTATTATTATTGTTCATTATTATTTTTATCTCTTATTAATTTTAATTTTTTTTATTATTGACTTTCATTTTCTTATTTCACAACTTTCATTTTTATTAACCTTTCAATTTTTGTTTTTAAAATAAACTAAAAATTAAAGTTTAATGAACCAAAAAATTGATACATATTTTATCATAAAAATATATAGAAAAATATCTTAAAAGTACAAAATTTCATATTTATATTTTTTAATTATGAATCTTGTGATAATAAGAAAAGCAATGTTATATTAATAAATTTTTCTATTTACAAACTCACTTTCAAAGAATACACAATCAAATATTTGTATTTCTCTATATATTTGTAAATAATTTTTTTTAAACGTAACATTCTCCTAATAAGAATATTAAAATAGGTTACCATCTATTCACCAAAAGAACAAAAAAATAGGTTACCATGAAATGACTAGGTTAATAGAATTGTGGGGCATATAGTAAAATATGTGAATTCAAAATTTAAAATACTTTTTGTTATTTTTTCTGTTCTTCTTTTCCATGAGCTATTTTTTCGAAGTTAGCATATTAGATGATTCATTTTTTTTTTTAAAAAGTGAGCATATTATAATTTTATTGTTAATATATTTTTTATTTATTTATTTATTTTAATAAATATATCAGATTATAATAGAAATAAAGATTTTGCTTAGCACATGATATTTTAAAAAATATTGAAATGCAATCAAATTTGAGTTAGAAAATTATTTTAAAATAAATAAATAAATAGAGAATAGTAATTATAAATATATTTCATATTTTGAATAATTATTTAATGTGTCAAAATACATATTATTTAATCATGATACAAAATTAAAAACTTGCATCTTTATTACAAATAAATTAAAGAAAATTGATTCACGTAGTCAATAAATTCTAAATTTGATAAGCGTTCATTTTTTTTAAAGTTATTTTGTTTAATATTCATCGAAACGATATCGTTTTGAGCAGAAATTATGGTATATTTGTAATTTTAATTTATTTCAGGATAATAATAGTCTTTATTATTCTAATTTTTTAATTTCAAAATGACATCGTTTCGGTGAATATTAGACAAAATTATCTAAAGTAATATTAGATATTTTTTCCCTTCATAAAATCACAAGTATATTTAGATTGATTTATATTATAAAAGAAGCTTTTAACTAAATATAGTTAAAGAAAAATGTATGTGTCATTTTAAAGGATATAAATTTGTGTCATTGTAAGAGAGAAAGAGATAGATAAAGGAGGAGAGAGTGAAATAATATAAGTTGTATCGTTTAAAAAGATAAACACTTTTCCCATAGTTAAAATAATTTAAATATACAATTATACATTAAACATTTATTTATTAAATAAAAAAGTTTATAAATGATACTATCTGATTCAAATAAGTAGAGTATCTAGTAGATTTCGATATGTTGTATTTGGCGATGTCTTTAAAAGGATAGAATTGATCTTTTCCCCATATTTATGACATGTGATAGATTATTTTATTTTTTTTATGCCTATTTTGTCTATTAATTTTTAACATTGTTATATCAAAATTTCAAGCCATGTTTAAAAATCTCACCCCATTCCCGGTTGATCCGGGTCAACCCTGACCCCTCCCCTTTGAGGGTTGAGGTCACAAGTTGGACCCTATATGCACATCGACCTCTCCGACTCCCAAAACCCCACCGGATTTCAGTGACTCTCGGGTCAGATAGGTCAGAGGGGGTCACTGTATTTTTTTTTTTTTTAAGAAAATTCCATGAAACAATGTCATTTTATTAAAAAAAAATGCTTGCAAACCTAAATCTAATCGTTCTCTTCTCTCCCAACGACCTAGACTTGTGGTATCTTGATACTTTGGTATCATTAGAATATGAATTTTATACTTTGGTATCTTGATATTTTAATTAGGTTGTGTAATATTGACTTGTGGTTATAATTGATGAATTATATTAAATATGTTTTGAATCTTTAATGATTGATAATTTGTTTTTTAATATTTTCATATAGGATATATATATTTATATTTTTTTAAGGGTTTTATAAGAGTTATGTTGTAGGAAAAATAATTGTGTTATGTTATAGAGATTCGTTTTGTGTATCGAAGTTTGTTTGTTTTTGCTGCAGGCCCCACAAAATGTTGTGAGTGTAGGAAATTTTTTATAGTCATGATAAATGATAGATGATAAACTCTTTTTTAATATATAAAACCGGATCAGCGTAGTAACCCGGTGACCCCCGGTTGAACCCATGACCCCGTGATCCCTGACCTCGGCCGGGTCGATAGCCGGGCAGGGTTTTTAAACACTAATTTCAAGAGAACAGAAAAATTATAAAAGTTAATTAAGATTCTAATTCAACGGTATTAAAATTTGATAGGCAAAATAGATATAGAAAAGAGTAAGTAAAATAATTTATTCCTAATAATATAAGTATTAATTTATTTTCCTTCGTTACGTTTATTTTCTAAAACCCTTCAGCGCCGTTAAACCTTATGCCCTCATAGAATTGGAACATTCTCTTCTGTGTGGTTTCTGCAAATTTTTCTGAGACGGCAATGGCGGATTCTTCAAGCAACTCAAAGGAGCAGAAGACGCGGGTATACCATCCTTACCAAGATCTCAACGTTCCGATCCAGAAGCTCTACAACCTGCCCACCGCGCCGGAGCACCTCTTCCCGGAAGAAGCCGCCAGGACCCACCGCTCCTGGGGCGAGAACCTCCAGTACTACACTGGCTGTGGCTACCTCTCCGGCGCCATCATCGGCGGCGCCAAGGGGACCTTCCAAGGTCTCAGGGATGCTGAGTCTGGCGACTCGGCGAAGCTCCGGATCAACCGAGTTCTGAACTCGGGGGGTCAGAGTGGTCGCAAGCTTGCGAACTCGCTCGGCGTGCTAGGGTTGATCTTTTCGGGCCTCGAGACCGGGATGATCTACTTCAGGGGCAGGGATGACTTGGTCAACAGCGCTGTCGCCGGACTTGGCACCGGAGCGCTCTACAGGGCGGCGGCGGGGCCGCGATCTGCTGCTATTGCAGGTGCCATCGGCGGAATTGCGGCGGCGGTGGCAGTTTCCGGGAAGCAAGCTTTGAAAAGATATGTTCCGATATAACAAACAATTAGGTTAATATGAATGGGAATTTTTTTTCTGTTGTTACTTTTAGTTGTTGGCTTGTTGCTAATATAAATTCATGTACTAGATTCATGGCATGAATTAAATGTTTTTGTTGTCCTGTTGTTTCTGCTCTCAACGTATTCGTTGAAAGGATCAAAGGTTAAGTTAATTTGGAGTTGGAAATTTTATTTATCAATTAAACTGAATGTTGATGGGTTAATCAAACACTTTTCTCTGCAAGCTGTGTGTGAAGAAGGGTTTTTCACTTTTCAGAAAATAATAGTGATCACGATTGTAATTTGGGTTTTGAATGGGTTTGGAGGTTGCTATAGACCAAGGTTTTGCTAAACTGATTATGGAGATACATTCTTTGGTTGCCATTACTTCATAGAGCTAAATCTTTGTGCATATCATCTTGTTAATCTAAAGTTTTATGGTTAATTGGTGATGCCAAATGCCCCGGAGAGATTATAAAAAAAAAAAAAAAAAAACTTTGTTCTTAATTTTGATTATTGAAATAATAAAATATTAAATAATTCTCTAAACATCTTTTTTATTTGCTGGTAATGAATTTGAAAATAAAATTAAAATGAAAAACATAAAATTACTAAAATATCACTAAAATTAAACAAAAAATGACAGCACTTACAATAAGTTACAATTCTAAGTTTGTTTAGTAGAACTTTTCTCCTTTAGTCTGTTGCTATGGAATGGGCGTGTGGATTTGCCTACATTTTGTCTTTTCAAATTTATAAATAAAATTCTTTAACAAACTTTGTTTGGAAACCGGAGTATGGTTGATTTTTTTTACTTTGGTAAGGGAGTATGGTTGATTTAACTAACTCCTTTAAAATAAGTTAGAAACATTGTTCCTGTTAACTTATTTGTTATATAAGTTTTAGGTTTTTTTTTTTTTTGCAAAAACCCCAAAACACCCAAAAAGTTACAGAACAGAGGGCAAGGCCCTACAATTAGATGAATCCTTTAAAAGGAGATCCCTAAGATGAGGAGGAGGATAGGAGAAAACAAAGAAATTCCTATCTCCTTCATGAGGATTAGTGGCAATCCAATGAACACAAACATTATTCTCCCTGCTTGTGTACTTGTATTTGACAACCCAATCTTGTAGTAGCCATCTCTTAATACGCTCAACTACCCTGAGAGTCTCTTGGATTTAGATCCAAATTTTGGATACAATTGATAGCTTCTAATGAATCACATTCCACTTCTATTCTCCTAGCTCTTGATCTCTAAGCCAACTCCAATTGTTTATTATTATTTTTTATATCTCCAATGATGTTGGTAATGAGTTAAGACTTAAGACTATATATATATAACACGTTTGGTAATGATTTGTACTAATCTAATCAGAATGCAAGTATACACAAATCCGCTTTAAGCAGCATACATGTGTGTGAGTGTGTGTGTGATTAGGGACTGATATTTCATCAAATAAAACATGGGCATACAGAAGAATACCCAAACTTTGATAAATCATCAACCCCATCAGCCCATAATACACCCACAGCTTCCGTTGAAACGTTCTCCACACAAGACACAAGTTTTCCACACTTCAGACCTTATATCAAACATGTTGTGGGCAGTTACAGATCCAACCTAGCAATACAACTAAACACACAACCAAATGAACAACATATGAAGAGAGTCATCACATAATGCAGGATATTAATAAAAAGGGAATTACTTTTCTCATGTTACATAAACAAAATATTATCTCCTACACTCACATTTCTCAAATGGATCCCACAAGATTTTTTCTCTCTCACCTTTGACTTTTTTCTCTTTCCTACTTTTTGTTTGAGCATGAGATATTACTTCTCTTATACAACATAAGAGAAGTATTACCCTAATAAAAATTGGGCCATTGGTAAAAGAACACTAAACGCTGCATCTATCTCACTGTTCCTTGAACACACAGGCAAAATGGACTTGTCAAATTACAGAGAAGCAGGATAATGACAATAACAAATTCGAGTTCAAGCAAGGGGTTGGTGTAAGCTTGCCTACTAGTAGTAACCAGAGGAAAAATTTGAATAAGAAGCAAGACATTGTCGGTGTCATTGACAGAAGGGGAAAAGGAAAAAGCAAAAGCAGTTAAAACAACTATGAATAATACAAAAGGTAGAATGTATTACTTATTCAACCAATAAATGGGAAAAAAAACTACAGAGAAAAATAACAGACGCACCTTGTTACTATTCGAACGCAAAAAATGTCTTCTTGTTCTGAAAAAGAAAACGTAGGGATAATCAATTTTGCTACCAAAGATTATCGTGAAAGAGAGAGGATAAGTGAAGAGAGGACAAACAGTGGAAGGAAAATTAACCTTCAGCTCATACCAGTGAGGGGACCTGAGGAAGAGTACTACAATCTGCGTTAAACACATCGGCGAATGTCTAGGACCAACTCCGGTAGCCAAGTTTCAGGCAACTCCCTTTCTGTATCACAGGATAAGCTTTTGCTTCATGTCCAACAAATGGATATGTTTCATCAATGGACGCAACCTAGGGCACGATATGATGAAGGGCAGATTTGTCTGAAATTTTTCCACTTTTTCACGTTTCATTTTCCAACCAAGTAGGATTCCTCAAATTCCACATTTTCGATTGATTCTCCATCCAGATTCTTATGTGTTCTATCAAATACTAGGAAAAAAAGTTGTCGACCATAATTTTGCATGCCTGTGTACCAAATATAGTAAACAAAAAATGCCACTATTACTTTCCTGGGAAAAAAGATATATCTACGTACCAAACGGGCCCTAGTCATGCACTTATGCGTTTGACAGAAAACAAGACATCAGCTGGGCAGTATAACAGGTCTGAGTTAGTTGGTGTTTCTGCTTTATAAGTTTTTTTTTTTTTTTTTTTTAAAAATATTTTCTGGGCTTAGCCCCTCCTATTTACTAAAAAAATGAGCTAGAATTTACGACCTGAAAACGCGCTGTCCATTATGGAATGACTTGAAACGGGTCAAGAAGAGTCTTGTGGGTTCATAGTTCCAAATTTTCAGTATAAACCTTTTAAATGGCAGAGCCTTCAGACAAACATGATAAAAGTCTCAATTGGTTAAGATTTTTTACCGCTTGAGAAGGAATCCTGCCTCACCATAGATGGAGGGGAGAAAATTACCTTTCATCAATACTTCAATAGACCAAAAATAAGGTTACCTATTGACAGGGTAATTCTTTGTGGTCATTATCAATTTAAGCCAGGTACTAATGATTTTCTTTTTCACGTGTCATGATTAATTATACTAGACAAGGGAGACAAGTGATTGCTTTATTGATCTATAAAAAGTTCAATGCTTAACAGTACGTGCCAAGCAACCTAAATGCATTTGTTAATGCAGAACTATGTAGCACCGATACTGACACGGGACACGTGACACGATACGACACTCCGACACGTAAATTCTAAAAAATGTTAAATTTCGACACGTTAGGACACGTTTTGATATTAAATAATATTTTTAATTTATGTAGTGTATATAATATTTAATATTCATTCATTTAACAAAAAAATGAAACTAAACTTATAATATTCATCAATTTTGCAAAGAAACATAAGATATCCCAAATATTTATATTAAGGGCTTGCAATTTCTCATGTTGCATGAGAAATTCAAGTTTTCCTACAGATAGAGAAAAAGGTGGGACCCACCTTAAAGAAAAAAATAAAAAATAGAAAAGTGATTGGTACGGATATCGAAGTGAGAGTGATAAGAGAGGAGACTTCTCATGCAACATGAGAATTCTTTTTCTCTTATATTAAACTCAATAAAATGGTAAACATAATCCAACGAATCTAATAGTTAAAACTAAAAACTCAACGTAAGCAACCTTTGAACTTTTTTTGAATTTCTGTAATGTGTATTGGAGTGTCGAAGAGTGTCGGACACGACACGTCAGGGTTTTTGAAGTGTCGGTGCTTCGTAGATGCAGAATATCAACCAGCCTCTGGTAGTAGTGAAAGAATGACAAAGAATTGACCCATTAAAAAGGAGAATGACAAAGTTAACAATAATTTTGATACATATATACGCACTTCAAAAAAATCAGCAACAGCAACAAACTGTCCTTGTCTCCTAGTCACTTACAAACCTGAAAGCAGTAAGGTTTACATAGCTTGTTCCAGAATAGACTCTGTCGATAGATCGATCAAAACCCACCTTCGCAAAAGAATAATCCTATCGTCAAACTATAACTTACCTGCTACCTTTTTACAGTGACAGGAAAAACAGCCATTTTGCAAACATAATCAAAGAATGTATCCTATACTAGCGTTGTTGTACATTCAACAATAACTACATATTATATTATTATGTGCAATGCTGAAGAGCTTACTCCACTGCTGCGTTGGGGTTGTCAAGCTTTGAACTGGACTAAGTTAGATTTCAACATCAACACGGGTTCTGATGGGCTTGAGCTTAATTCCTAAACTCTCTGGAGAGAGAAGTTCTGGTGATATGCATGAATGTCTAGAGGGGCTTGCTGGATTTGAGCCATTGCTTGACGAGGAAGCAAAATGTGACTGTCTGTGGTAACCAAAACCCATTAAGAAGCACTCAATTGGTATTATCATAGAATTTGGGTGCTCTTCTGTTACTAATGAGCCACAAGCCTGAACCTGAGCAAGTGTTATAAAATGATCATGTTATTTCTGTCTGTCTCTTTCCCAACTAGATTAGAAGAGGATGCTGTTTAGTACTTTATATTGTTTCATATAATGAAAGGACTACCTACCTCAACAAGTGCACAGATTTTGTTGCCCATTTTTGCACTCATGTAGACAGATTCAGCATGGAATGGACTACTCTCACCAGCAAATATAAGTGTCTTGCATTGCAAGTTCTTCAGACCCTCAGTGAGGTCGTGTCTTCTGCAAGCAGTTAACCATTTTGGTTATAATTTGCTAAGGTTTTTAAATTTCCAGCATTTTATTGAAATTATCCTATGTGGAAGATAATGTCATAGGACAATATCATATAATAAATAGCAATCTTTTGTTATCTTTTTTCGTTTCACATGCCGCATTAGTCCACCCTAAATCCATCAAGTCATAGCCACAGCCTAGAATTTGGTTCACCTAAAAAAAATCAACTGTATGGAATAGTAAATATTACAATGCAAATTCTAATTGTAGAAAACAATTTTCTAACAACTTGCTCGCATTACATAGAGTCACATTAAAAGTATGCAAGTTACCATTTCATCTCAAGAATATTAAATATATCATCAACAATAACAGGAATCAGCAGTTATATAGTTGAATACAATGGTTCAGATGGATTGAAGACCCAGAGGGCAAAATGGAGGGACCAAGATAAAGCAATAGAAAACAATCACATGTTTGTCAAAAACATTATAACTTACGCATTAGTTGCTTGAAGAAAACGCATTACATTCAAACTTTGTCTTTCATCCAGAAGCTGTAATTATAGATAAGAAAAGAGCAACTACATGTTAGAATTGTACACATACAAAATTGTCCTAATTTCCAGGTAACTATGCATGCACTTAAGGCAAAATGTCTATATGAAGTAGTTGTTACTAAAATTGAGCTTGTCTGTACCCTTCGGCAAGTTAGTATTATGTCCGATTCTGCTCCCTGAACACTGCACCTAAGTTCCTATAAGAAATGCACAGATAATTTCACATACAGAAATGATTCCATCTTCATAATGAGGGGATAAAGAATGGGAAGAATACCTTACTGAAGTAACGCTGCAGAAGGCATTCCTTCAGTAAACCGCACATACCATAGAAGTATAATAAATTCATTAAGACCTGCATGAATAGATATAGAAAACCTTAGGTAGACCTACTTATGAGTGAAATGAACTTATATCAATATAATGATGCTACCATGAACTTATATTGATATGGCAGCACACATGCAAACTGATGGAGTTACTAAATTCCTTAATCTAGTTGCAGATACTTCAATAGATGACATTTGGTAAAAGCCATGCTGACAGATTAGAACCTTGTTGTAAAGCCATTCAGTCCATGAAGGTGCTTTGCAAATAGGTGAAACAAGAATCAATCCAAGAACTCGTTCTTTGTATTTCATCTGCCAAATGAGAAAAAGCATGATGATTTACTATACTAGATTGTTGTAATAGATAAAGTTAAAACACAAAGTTGCTAACTTACAGCAAATAGTGTCAGGATGTAAGCACCTGCTGTTACACCTAAGCACAGAACCTCCCTTAGCCTGATTTAAGAGAGTTTTGGACAAAGATTAAAATCCTAATCCAAGTAAAAATATCAAAGAGGCTTGTTTTATTAATCCAAAAATGTATTCAATAGACAAATACTCAAGTTCCCTTACATAGAGATACTAAATATGTACTCACTTCCCTTAGTTTAATTTATCCAGCTATGCAGAGACAATCTATTTTTATATATTTTTTTAAAAAATTTATTTTTTATCTTTTTTTCTCAATCTTTTAGTACTTTTCATTTGGGTTCATCTGCCATCAACCCCAACTAGTTTGGTATAAATGTGTTGTTGATGTTGATGCAGAAAGAATCTATTTACTTGTTACTATAGTGCATGGCATCAATAGTTATCACATTGTTCCTGCGAAAACAACAGGGGAATATATTCTAACAGTCCACTGCCAGAAACTCAGCCTTTACTTTAAGAGAAAAGGTGAATAGCTGATGCTCTACGTACCCAAAGAAATCAAGCACTTCTGCAACCTGGTCAGCAAGGTCATCCACACAAAGCAATGGTTCATCTGAAGAAATCACATCAGCTCCCAACTGCAATAACTCTTAAAACAAATGAGAAAAGAGTCGATTATACTCTAGGAGAGGAGAATTCCCATGAAAATTTATATGCAATTAAACTCCGAGCTATTTCACAGCTTAATCATAAATATATCATTGAAGTTAAAATTCCTCAACGTAGAGTAATGTTCAGACTTCAGAATGAAAAGGGACACAGGATTGAAGTGGTAGACATGTTTGCACACATACTTCAATTCAATCCTCTTCATGGGGTTGAACTCAAAAAGCAACACTCATTTTATTAACTAACTCCCTAACCCTTCCCCATGTAAAACATGGATGTGAAATCAATAAAGTTAAAGCTCCTCATTTGCTAGTAGCTAAAATGATGAGCCCATTTATATGTCACAACAGTAATGACTTGGAAGGAAGTGGATTGCTACTAGGAAGAATGCTGATACCGACCTCATGCCCGGGAGCATCAATGTGATAAATGCAGAAGTTATGAAGCAGCAAAGAAGCTGCATCTGGGCAGAACAACAGGCCCTGGAAACAAGACACATCTGCAAAAACCAAGTTGTTCATATTATTATAGGAGTCCTATATTGCAAAAACCAAAGCTGCTTTGCTTCTAATTCTAAACATTTGACAACATTCATTCATACTGATGTTGAATTTACAAAAACAAAGCAATATAAGTAAGAACGATACAATTGAGAGCCACATCTGGATAGGTTATTAGAGCAGGCTTTTCTTGATCCCCGCAAACAAGCACAGTGACAGAACCTTTACTTGTCTTCACCGTGCATTCCTGCGAAGCACCAAAAAGCATAAGCTATGTTAATTTTGACACGAATTCCACAACAGTTCCATTA